TAGTGGGGTGAAGGAACCACCAAAGAACTAGAGGAAAGTTGTGTGTTTCATCGGTGCTGTACTGCATCCTGACTGGCTCATCTCTTCCCTGTGACCCCTCTGTGAGGGGATGTCCAATTGTCCACAGATGGGCGGTAGGTCACCACTCCCATTACTGCTTTTCCCATTACTGTTTATCTATCTTGGATTTCATTCATCGAATAACCTTGATTATACAAATGAACATACACAGGTCTCACGAGATTAGTGAGGTGAAACTAAGGCTCTAACAGTAGAGGAGGAAATATTAAAGAACTAGAGGACAGTTATGTGTTTCATCTGTCCTGTACTGAACCCTAGACATACCGCCCCTTCCACGGGGCCCTTCTGTGAGGGACTGTCCAATTGTCTTACAGGTGGGTTTTGGGGCTCCACTTTGTCTACGCTCCTTCATGTCAATCTGATTGCTTGATTTTGAATTTCTGGTATCTTTTCACTTCGACACCTCATGATCACACAGGCTGGTGTGCTTCTTCCATGTGGGCTTTCTTGCTTCCCTGATAGATGGCCACTTGTTTTACTTCAAGCCCTTAAGACTCAGACACTACAGCTTTTGATAGCCAAGCTCCATCAGCTTTCTTCACCACATTTGTTTATGCACCCACTTTGTCTTCATCAATTGTGTGGGGAAGGTATTGCACAGTGCCACATTATTCGAACAAACCGTTCTTGTACTGAGCCAATATTTAAGTAGAGGCCCAGAGTCTTTATCTGCTTCCTTACTGTATTTCCATAGATACACAAATACGCCTATCTTTTTATATCCACATATATACATCTTTATGCCTATATAAACTTTCTGCTTTCTTATTCTGCCCTATTTCTTTCTTCTTTCCTCCGGCCCCACAGTCATGTTTACCCATCATTCACCTTTCAGTAACTCCTCTCAGATACAGTTCAGTGATTAAACACAACCAGGAACGCTCACCCTCCTCGCTGTCAATGTTAGATCCCTTGCTATCCCCGTCCCGGCACTGTTGGCTCACTGCTCCCCTCCCCACTCCTCCTCTTCTTCCGTGCCATGTTGCCCCGTGACCCCCAGCTGTCGGTCCACTGCTGTCTCCTTGGGAATCCTTATCCTGCCTACCTCGTGGAGACAGACAGACAGACAGAAAAGAAAAGAGAGAGACCACACAAATAGTTCCGAGTCTAACCTGCCCTGACCCAGACTAGACGACTATCCATGGACAGTCTTTCCTGTGCTGCTGCCTTCCCCTACGATTCCCAGCTCAACAATCCAATACTCAGGAAGGCTCCCTCCAGTGGTCACGTCAACAGATGCAGCTAGTGGGCAGGGGAGAGGCTAAAACTCAAACTTAGTGACTCAGAGGGACCCTGTGGGGCACGGAAACTCACAGAGGGCAGTTGGGAGTAGAGAGCCTTGTGCATTTCCCTCCTAACTGCTGCTGGTTTCAAACTGCCAACCTTTCGCCGCCCAGCACGAAGTCCACGACACCACCAGGGCTCCTCTTACCGGACAAGTGGCTACTGCAGATCTTATCTGGCCATGAGGTGGCAGGCCTTGCCCCTTCATGTGCCTGGAAATGCCCCTGGTTCAGCGCCTTTCCCTGCCTGCAGATGGAGGCCCTGGTTCAAAAGCCAGAGCCCAGGATGTGTGGGAGGAGCCTTGTGGGCACAGTCGTGAAGTGCGTGGCTGCTAATGGACAGGGTGGAGCAGCTCTGTGAGAGAAAGGCCCGGCAGTCTGCGCCTGTCAAGCATGGGGCCTTGCACACCCTGCGGGGTAGCTCTACTTCCCTGACACGGCACTGACTCAGCGGCGCCCAGCAACAGTGCCCACGGGCAAGCGGGCAGCTATGTCCCTGCCCAACGCCACCCCCAGGGCATCGTTTCAAGGGCTACGAGCTGATCGTCAAGACTGTTAGCCCAAACTGAAAATGACTTACTAACATGGTTTCCAAAGCAAATGGTACGTCTGTCACCACGACTGAGGTCCCGTGAACTGCACTGCTCTCTTTGCCCTTCTCGGTCTCTGAAACGCTGTGCCCTGATCTTTGTTATTAGACAGTGCAAGGGGCGCGTTGCTCAGAGCGAGAAAGACAAGTGAGGCCAGTCAGTACCTCCTCTAAGCAAGAGCACACCAAAACCCACCTTGAGAAGCTAACAGTGCTCTCCACTAACGTCACTGCCATAGAAAAGAGTATCGGCTGAGCACACAGGAGGCATCTCCTGCCCACGTACCTCCTTCTTCCCGTCGCCGTCGAAGTCACACAGGGCCAAGGAGTGCACGTTATCTCCAGTAACCTGGAAGGAAAAGCAGAGCTTTACGAGGGCGTCTTTCTGACCCTTACCGACAAGCTAGGATGATACAGACTACCAAGAGCGGTATTCAAATAACTCCTAGCTTTAAGGTGCATAGAATATGAATGTTTGTTATTCAGTAGTCAGAGGTTAAGAAAACAAACACCCAGCAAACGAAAGGATCTTCAAAGTCACAGTCTTTAAGAACATCAGAGAGAGAATGCCTTGTTTCTCGTACCGTCCAGAAGAGATCATTCCCTTCGTGGTCAAAACCCTGCAGGGCACAATTTCCACCGATAATTGCAAGAGGCGAGGAAATGTCTCCCAGTGTCCCCAACACGATTGCATTTGCCCCGTCAGCCACCTAAGGGGAAAGAGAAGGCGACACACATCTCGGGCATTGGGCTGCAGCACACCAGAGCTCACAGGTGCTCAGAGCCCTCTGCCATTCGTCCGAGGAGACGGCTGGCCCCAGCGTGTGGGCTGCTCACGCTTGCCATTTATGCCAAGACAGGTGTAGAGGCAGGGCGAACTGGGCCTCTAAGCACTCAACCTCTGTACTTTGTTTTCATCATCTTCCAGGTAAATCTTTGTGTGTGTGTGTGTGTGTGTGTGTGTGTGTGTGTGT